TATTATTATTATTATTAATGTGAATATTATTTTTATATAATAAATTCGTTAACGTTATATTATTATATAATTCTGATGTAAAAATATACTCAATATATATATAAACAATTTTCATGATACGATTGAATTGTCTTTTTTTTTGTTTTTTTAGAAAAATCATTCTAAAGTTTTATAAAAACTCAAATTTATAAGCGCCTTTCCAATCCACAACGGCGGCGAGTCGTGGGACCCACTACATCAAAGATGTCAATGTTCAGTGTCCATATACTTATAGTGTGACGTATTGCTATGTAGTTTATATCCACTTTGTTAGAGGGCAAAAGTGCGCGGCAGCATTTTGCGGTTACAGGTTTTGGGTCATGTCCTCTCTAAAGTTTCTCTCTGCTGTGATATATTAAATTGCCGTTGGCACTTCTGTAAATTGATTGTCGATTAATTTAATCAAAAAAGTCCCTTAATGTGATTGATTAGAATCTTAATAATTATGCTATTGCGCTATTGATTGCATAAAATACAAAGGCCGCATTTAGAGGACAAGCAACGGTTTAATTTTGTTTGTTGTTAACATGTGTCTATTCTTTATCTCTCATAAACGAATTCATGTTATACGAATATTACGTTAATAATAACATTTTTATAATTTATTTCTGCTTATTATAAAATCTACAGGTCCTTTAAAGAGCTACACTCCCAATCATTTACAATTCTAATAAACAAGCTGACATTATTCATTGTCATTTTGACGTAAAAATAACATTTACAATGTCAAAATGATCTCAAAATGATGACAAATAATGTCAGCTTGTTCGCTGAGATGAGAGTAATATGGTGAAGTAAGTTGTAAACCGTAAGAAATTACCGTAAGACCAATCGCAGTCGAACGTGAGGAGTATAATCGATTATAATTAGTCAATTTCTAAGCTTGCTTATTACATTATACTCTCATTGTAAATGATCCATAAAAGCTTTAGAACATATACTAATGGAGCGAGTATATGTTTTACATAGTGAACTGGCAAGCCAGCAAGTAAGACAAAGAAGAAGATATTTGGTAAAAATCTTTCTCTCTTCTTCAATTTGTAATTGGTTCATCAGGCCCTACCTCTATTCAATAATAGCGGATGTAGCAAAATATGATCCCTGCTGATCCCTGCCTGTGCGATAAAATCTTACAAAATGCCAGCCTTTTGATTCTCACATGCAAAGCGACGATTAAATTATATATCATTTCACAGGTAAATTAATAGAATAGTAACAGTATAAACAAATATTCACTTTAATGATAAATTCACGTTAATTCACGTTAATAGAACCTCCCTATTCGAACGCTCCTGACAGTGACAGAGAAAACACCCAAATATTCCCCTCTCTGTCTTACTTGCTTGCATCACTATTCAGCATAGTTCGCTCGCTCCATGAGTATATGCTCTAAGATAAAAGCAAATTATTCGTACAAATATCATAACATAAGGTAGTCAGACGTAAGCAGTAAGCAAAGTGGCTAATCTTAGTAGAAGTGAAGTTACTGTCTTACATTTTTTAGTGTCAGTTGCCGATTCTATACTGCTTACATTTTATACATTTTTATATTAGGTGTAGTAAAAAGAAATCCATTATTTTTGCATGAAATTGAATGGAAAAATAATGGATTTCTTTTTACTACACCTAATATATATTTCAAGTTTAATATTTCCTAATTTTTTAATAAAATTGTGTAGTATGTAAACATCTAAATCAATCTTTTCTATGTTAATCTTAATATTATAGACTCGTTAATCTTAATATTATAGAATCTTAATATTATAGAATCAAAATATATATATATATATATATATATATGTTGTTTTGTAATGACAGTAACTGAAAAATAATTGAAATTTTTTTAGTAACTGTAACTCGTTAGTTTTTAGAATTGGTAACTTGTAACATTAATTAGCTACTTTTTAAAACAGAAAACTGTAATTATAACTAGTTATTTTTACACTTTTCCAACTCTGAAGATTAGTAACGTAGAAATTGCGTGCAGTCTACATAAAGTTAGTTTTCTTTTTTAGAATTAATGTATTTTAAGAATAATACTGAATTATGCTAGATTTGTGCTGCATTGTGCCCGAAAATTAATGTCGTAATATAAAAAATACGTTAAAAAAATGAAAAAAAAATTTTTTTTTTGGTCAGTTGATTATACGGCAATTTCCATAACAAAGAGGGGATAAGGTTGGTAGTGACGAAAATCCCCTAGGCAATACAAATTAATTTCTATGGATTGGTCACATTGTGTAAGTAGTAGTGTATTCATTTAAATAGCCTTTTTGACATATCTGACATGTACGTGCAGGTACATAAAATAATTTTAAAAATACTTAGTTTATAATTTAATAATATTTTATATAATACTTATGAATAAAAGATAGAATCTAAATAATTATCATTTCCTCTCACTTTATTTCTCTTCTACTTAATAATATCTACTTAATAATAAATATTAAAATGCTTTTGTTTAAAAACAAATGTTTTTGTTTTTCCTGTTAGGAAACAAAAGCTATCCAATTTTTGTACTGTGTAATACAGCAAAACCCAACATTTTAAACATTTATTATTAAATATGGAAAAAAATATATTTCTGTCCGAATTCATCAGCCAAAAATAGAATACAAACAAGGGATATGTTTTTCATTATAATAGTTCGTTTGGAACGCTGTAAATATATAACAAGAGAAATTAAGTGAGAAGAAATAATTTGAAAGAAAATATTATTGCATTCATTTATATAACTAGTATAAGAGAGAGAGAGAGAGAGAGAGAGAGAGAGAGAGAGAGAGAGAGAGAGAGAGAGAGAAGCATACTATGCATTATATTTTAGTACATTTAATTGTGAACAATTTTTTTTTACAGGTATTATGAACGTGGTTACCAAAAAAATAAAGATATTGAATGTAGAGTGCATTGACAATTAAAAATGATACATACGTTGTTAATGGAACATATAATCATGACAAACCCATACTACATCTCAGTGAAATTAAAAAAAAAATCAAAATATCAGAAACATTTGAAAGTACCAGAATGATGAAAAATAAAAAAGAGAATAATTTCGAAGTAAGTATGAACCGAAGATATTATAAAAATAATTCTGAGAAAAATTTTCACGAGAAAATACAATTAATTACTATTTACAATCCATAATTTGTACATTGACATATATGTAGATACGATCATTTATTGGACGTGACAAACATAGCAAATATTGAAAAATGTATCGAACGTCATAAGAAGCATAGTCTTAGACAAACGTCAACAAATTTAAAAGAATTGAAGGATTGTTTAAAAAGAGAGGATTGGAAAAAATTATTTACAATAGATTCTTCAACAGATTCAACAGATTCTTTTATTATTGATGACTATATTGTCAAAAATAACGAGATAAAAGTATTTTTATCGATAAAAAGCAGAAAGCGATTTTAGCGGAATTAATCATAAATGCAAATTAACTATTTTTATAGACGGGACATTTGTAACACTACCTCGATTAATAAATGAGAAATGTCAATTATGGACAATTCTTATTAGATATAATAATAGAGTAAGAAAAACAATCAATTCATTAGTTAAGTCATTATTTAATTATTATATTTCATTTAATTGCAAATGTACTCTATTGTCTATGTAATTATATATGTAAGTTTAATTGCTTTTAAATTTCAGACATTTCCAATTGTGTACACTATCATGGAAGGACGTTGCTAATCAGAAGATTACCGTGGTATGTTGATGTATTGAAAAAAGTGATAAACTATAAAAATAACCTGATGTTGTAACAAAAGATTTTGAAAAAGCAAAACTGCAAATCAAAACAAGCAATCAAAACAATTTTCCCCCATGTAAAAACTATTGGCATACTTCTTTCATTACAGCCAGGTAATGAAAAGCAATACATAATAGACAAATAACATAATGCACGTAAATCTTCTTTGTGTTGATTTCTTTTTACAAGCGTTACAAGATAAATATATAGCATTTTAAAAGGGAAAATAAAAGAATTAGATTGGGGTACAATAAAACTATTGGGTTGACTTTTCTTGACATTGGCGTTTCTAGAACAAATGATACAAAGTTTTGAAATTATCATTAATATCATTTTCCGAGATTGTAAAAATTTACAATCATTTTTTAATTATTATAAACAGACACTAAATGATTTCAAGCCCGGTTTATTTTCTATATTCAAAGAAATTGACAGAACAAATAACGCGTCAGAGAGACACAATCGCGAGCTGAAACAAAGTCTCCAAAAGCATTCAAGAATTATAACATTTTTAGGTATGTGTTAGGTATGTGTACCTATTGCAAATACTTTTTTCAAAAATATTTATACTCTTATTAAATTTTAATGTTATTTATAGATAACCTAACTGAACATCAAAAAGACATCAAAAGTATGATGAAATATCCAAAAACAAGATTACAACCTAAAACAAAAAGAAGCCAAATTAAAAAAAATTTGACAAGATATAAAAACAAATATGAACAATGTAGATTTATTATTAATTTTAAATGAATTAACAAAACTGGTTGGAAGAAATAAAATTAATTGATATAGTATCTATAAATTTCTCTAAGTACATTTAGCATTTTAAATGGAATTCGAAAAATATTTCATTTAGCCCAGTGTGACTGCTATTATAAATAAAAGTATTTATTATCGGCTATTTCAAATGTCACCCAGTCCTGTATGCAACACAGAATATCTCGTCATCAGTGCGATCAATTAAATATCAATTAAGCAGAAGATATAATCAATCACTTTTTTTTCCTTTCTCTTCTATTCTTTTCCGAAACCCGAAAAAAATTAATCGAAATAAAGAATTGATCTAACAACAATGCATACAAATTATTCTCTCCTATTTTGTAATATTAGCTATTTGTCTGATATTTATCTATTCTTCTTTTCCTTCTTTTTATTTTTCCTATATTTTCCTATTTTACATTTTTTTCATCTCACATAGATTTCATTCTTCAGACAATGATGACAAATTGACTCCGCGAAGAATGATGCCACAATAGGGAATAGATATTTTTCTAGACACGTTATACTACTGAAAAATTAATATTGCATTTAATTAAATAATAATTTATTTACATACATATGTATATACGTAACATAATTTTTTCACCCTGTTAATCTCTATCCACACAATATTTATGTGATGTTAATGAATAGTTATGATAATTATTTAGCTTATCTTTTATTCATAAATATTATATAAAATATTAAATTATAAACTAAGTATTTTTAAAATTATTTTATGTACCTGCACACACATGTCAGAAACGTCAAAAAGGCTCAAACTACATTACTATTAGGTTGTCCAGAAAGTTCGTGCCGATGTTGAAGGAAAATTGAAACGCAGAAGATTTAAATTTTATTATATATTTATTAAATTATATAGGTTAGTCGGCACGAACTTTCCGGACAACCCAATACTTACACAATGTTACCAATCCGTAGAAATTAAATTGTGTTGCCTAGGAGATTTTCATCTCTACCAACACTATCTCTTCTTTTTTTATAAAAATTATCCGTGTAATCGGTCAGCCCTCAATTTGTTTTTTTTAATTTTTTTAAAATGTGTTAAGTTTTGCAAAGATGTGAGGTACTTACTACCAGTAAGCAGGGTTGGGCATGTATTATTGTATATACGAGGTTTTTTTATTTTGCATTGATCTAGTTTATATCGTAC